TCATTACTCAAGTCAGGTCGCAACTGCAAGTTTTAAAATGTGGTCGCAATTATAAGTTTTTAAGTGGGGTCGTAATTGCAAGTATTCAAAGTTGGGTCGCAACTGCAAGTTTCTAAATGAGGCCGCAACTGCAAGTTTTCAAGTGGGGCCGCAACTGCAAGTATTCACAGCCAGGTTGCAACTGCAAGTATTCAAAGTCGGCTCACAACTGCAAGTGTTTAACTATGGTCGCAACTGCAAGTTTTTAAGTTGGGTCGCAACTGCAAATTTTCAAGTGGGGTCGTAAATGCATGTTTTTCAATGTGGTCGCAACTGCAAATATTCAAATTCGGGTTGCAATTGTAAGTATTCAAAGTCGAATTGCAATTGCAAGTGTTCAAAGTCGGGTTGCAATTGCAAGTTTTCAAGCGAGGTCGCAACTACAAATTTTTAAATGTGGTCGCAACTGCAAGTATTCAAAGTTGGATTGCAACTGCAAGTTTTCAATGTCAAGTTGCAACTTCAAGTATTCAAAGTTGGGTCGTAACTGCAAGTTTTCACAGTTGGGTCGCAACTGCAAGTATTCATAGTCGGGTCGCAACTTTAAGTTTTCAAGTGTGGTTGCAACACAAAGTTTTCAAAATTTTGAACGGCAACTTCAAGTTTTTAAGTGGGTAGCAACAGAAAGTTTTCATTGGGGTCACAACTACAAGTTGTAAATCAAGTCGCAATTGCATGTTTCAGATCCAGCGGCAATTCTTTAAAAACATTCTTGGCTATTTTTCTCTTAAATATAGTTACTACTCACGGTCTTTTAGGGTCGATTTTTTCTTCTCAATGCGTCTTCTTTCTTCAGTCCAAATTCACGTCATGACAAACCCATCTAAAATATTTTTTTTCTTTTTGTATATGTGTAGTAAATAGCTAATGAAAATCTGGCCCAACCCAACGAGAAAAAGAGACGCCGGGCAAAGAAGTACGTAGCGACCAATCTTTTTTTTGCCTGGGGCATGCAAGCTCAGGTGCCAGGCAAAACCGTCAACAAAGAAAACCATCAACACAGCAAAAACAGAGAAAAAAGCCCGACAAATGTGTGCGCCAAACCACTTGGGCCTCCAGGCTTTTACAAAGGAATAACAGAAAGCAGGTCCGGGAAACAACAAACGGGCTTCCGCTCAAACTCAAACAGAAAACGGGCTGACACAACTAGTTGATGACATCAGCTTACATCAGGTGATTGAGACCATACTATAACTCAGCTAGCCGAGTTCCAGGCGGTCCCTTCTTTTAAATCTTACTAGCAAAAGGGCCCGTGCGTTGCTACGGGAAAAAAATCAAGTGACTACAAGACCCGACAGATCCACGTCCTATATTTTGAGACGGCATTCACACCTGTGTCACCACTTAACCTTTTTTCGTTGGCAATGGTTAGGTTCTCCTCTGATCACAATGCGTTCGAACATTATCAGTCCTAAGGCAGTGATTTCAGCTGCGCACACGTGTCAATGAGCCACACCTGCGCAAGATAATAATTAAAATGTGAAAAGATTAGGTCCATCTATCTATCATATTGAGAAGGAGTTTGAATGAAGTGGGATCTCACCTTGGATACTGCGTCGTTGCCTTAGCTATGTCCGTCTCTTTGAATTGAACATTATTTGTGAAATATCCAAAGCAAACTTAAAATACCAGTGCATTAGCAACTGCAAGAATTAAAAATTCTCATTGATATATAATCTGCAACATTATCTCTTTTCTCTATTCTCTATTCCCTATAAGCAGCAGTAGCGCACACACAACAAGAAATTGCCTCATGATAAATTGCAGCTAGTAATTTCAGTGTGTAAGCATCACTGCAAGTAGGTATCATCCTCAGCAGACCAGCATCACAAATAGCAGTTCTTCCTTCATGTCCAGCTTACACTCACACACGCATAGAGATCGGGGAGCCACAACGCCTCCTTCTGCTTTGCACTTTGTCGCCACTGCGCCCAGCGCACGCACAGACTCGTCCAAGGCGCCGTCTGCCTTCTCCACCGCATCATCCTTCCTGTTCTGCATCTTGCAATTCTTGATTAGTACTTTGTCAACATAGTCTGCACTCCTGCGCAAAGAAAAAACGTAGTCTGCACTCTGCACCCAGAGATCTCCCAGCCGTGGGGTCTTGTTCTACATTCGCTTCTGCCCTCTGCTGCTGCTGCCCGCTGCCTTTGCTTAAAACCATTGCTGCTGCTTGCCATAGCTCCTTGCCGCGAACTCGACGACGTCCATGTGCGGGGGCAGAATGCCCATTCCAGTTTAAAAAGATGGATTTCTTTCAGAACTCGCCCAGAAAGAGTTGAGAGATAGAATGGTAGCAAGATTTACCAAAGTGTCACCCGGCAACTCCCTGGTTGACACAAAACAACTTGTTAGGATAGATCATGCCGTATATGCATTATTCAAAGAGCTAAATGATAGTAGAGGAACTCTAAGTTTCACATAAATTAACATTCCAGCAGGGGTTCCAAAGGAAAACTAAGTAATTTTAAACTCACTGTCAAATCTATGAAGCACAATCTTTCATTTTCATTGTTCAGTATCAAGTACCAGAACCTATAAATGAAATGATTGAACTCACGAATCCAACTGTTTAATGTACATCAACAACTCAGATGCATCCCATCTCTGAAATAATGTAGCCTGTCCCGAAAAGTAAACCATGTGTGGTATTTGCTCTGTTTATAATTAAGTGTCTTGTTGAATGCTTGTCTTGAATAAAGGGATAAATGCAATCATATGTGTAGCTGCGTAATATATATAGAAAACAGTGGCGCCTGGCAATCTTAACAATGAAAAGGGTGAGCTTCCCAATTAAGTACAAGATTGCATCATCCCTTCTTGGAAGTTTTTTCACTGAACCTGACAAACTGATAGGGGCACTACTTATGCTACCTAACATCCAAAATTACAGAACCAAAAAGATGCACTATGCATTTTGGATCAATTCATATCCTAATGGTTTAAAATATAGCAGTTGGCTTAAAAGAACATAATTATTTAAGCTGTAGTATATAACTAACGTGTTATTACCATGTTGATAATTTATTAGCTAGTGTCAACCAGAAAAATAAAGGGGGTAATTAATATCAAAACAAAAGGCACAAGATCTAACCTGCACTTTCTTGTTTTGTGGAGTGATTTATTGGGTACTTCCAAGTGCCAATAACATTCTTTAAAGGAGACCGATTTGTTGACATCACAAATACTGGAGATACCGAGAATTTCTCTGTAATGCGACATTAGATAAAAAATACTGAAGATAATGAAGAAAAGATTGCGATAGAATTGGTCACAGATTTGCGTGGAGGAAAATCAATCGGTCAAGAGCATTGCAACACGGTGTCCCCGCAGGAAGGTGTATGGCAATGAGCATAAAATTAAGATTAGGCACTGAAGTTGAGTTGGCACTGAACATACATTTTTTACATCAGTTACCCACCAGGCTAAAAGTAAAAGATCAGATACCCCGGCCCACAATACTAACAGATTGTATATCTTCATATTTGAAGCACCCTGCATCTCTTTAGCAATACCTACATGTATGTGCCATAAAGAATGGTTAGATACGCCATACAGATAATCAGAGGTATTCAAAAGAACACATCCAAATAGTTAAGCAGGAAAATAAACACCAAAGCCAACTGTGTGGCAAGGGCTGCTATACTGATTCTGTGAATCCAGTGTTGTTGGAGGCGGTGCAGTCATGCAGATCATCGCAACTCGTTTGCCTCCACATCCTATAGGACATAATTAATTGAGCCAAGAGTTTCGTTATTCAGTGGTGAATTTAATGGCTGGAGAACAGAGAGCCGCTGCAGTTCCTCCAGCCGGCAACCTCACAATGACGGCGACCCAATAAATTGAAATTGTCAGCAATACAATGTGATCCTTCGCTGCATCAAGCATCATCCTTCGTGAGATTGATTCCTTAATTAATCATGGCATTTCCAGTTTAACTATTTTATGAGCTTACAAATAAAAGCACAAAAATGAAAGTAGCACATATATACACTGTTTGTGTTCGGAAGGATATCAATTCACAAACAAAAATAAATCTGTTCATGGACTTGTTCATGTAGTAGCAGACTTTTGTTCAAAAAAAACTGGACATGTGCTAATGGGAGAGATAGAGAGCAGATGGGGGTTGCTTGCCCTATCTTGGTGCAGCAGAGGCATCATCAGAGGTGAGGAGGTGCTGTTGGCTAGGGTTCCTCCATGTTAACCTGCGTGAGAAGGGAAGAAAACAAGATGAGCAAGGATCGGGAAGAGGAGGGGATGGGATGGGCACAAGATAAAACCTTGAGGAGTTGCAGGTCCATGGCGTCCTTCACATCTCCGTGAAGAAGCCCTTGACGGCAGCGACCGTGGTGGATGCGAACTCCCATGGCGTGGTCCATCTACATCTGCAGCAGAGGATATGAAGAGAAGGTGAGGTGTAGGGGTGGCGGATCCCGTCCAAGAAGGAAGGAGGAGGAACCAGGGGCCGCCGGAGACGCGCCGGCGAAGTCCTACCTGGAACCCTAGCCATGGGGGTGGGGTTGCGACCGGACGGTAGAGGCGGGGAGCAGGGAATCTGGCCGGAGGGGAGGGAGGCGTGCACGATGGGGAGCTCGGAGGCGTGCTGCGCTTCGCCGGAGCTCGCCGGAAGCGGCCAGCGTTGGTGGTGGCGGCGGCGAGGACTTCGGGCGAGAGGGAGAGGAGGCGAGCTCGTGCTCCGTCTGCTCGGACCGCGGGTTGAATACCATAAACTACGGGGCCTTTTTTGTAAGAACGGAACGTTTTGTCATATTAGTCATTTAAAAAGGACCGCGGGTTGAATACCCAAAACTACAGGGGCTTATTTGAAAAAATTCCGGCGACGTCCGACCGGAAACGCTAGCCGTTTTATTATTAGGTAGAGGTTATTACAGGCCCAGTGACGAAAACTGACAAAGAGAAACTGCACCACGAAGCGTGCACGTAGGGAGGGACGCACACCTCTAGTGGAATTTGCAGGTTGAGACACCGTTCCTGAAAGCTGCGGGCAGGGTGTCTGGTGTGATGTGAGGGCACCCACCCTTGACGCGCAGATCAATGGGACCTGTGCAGCGCCCGAGGGCCGACAAGGACGACAGCAGCGGGCAGTCGGCGATGCTCACGTCCCTGAGCAGAGGGAACGCAACTTTCGGCATGTCATTGTCATTCCACGCCACCAGTTCCTTCATGTCGTCCAGCACGATCTTCTTAAGCTTGGGGAACGCGCCGCCGCCGCAGAAGCCGCCGTCGATCCTCGCAACAACACAAAGCTCCTTGATTTCGAGAAGCTCAAGGCACGGGAGCTGGCCCAGGGCCGGAAGGGCCTTGAGCTTCCTGCAGTTCTTGAGGTACAGGCGCGTCAGCTTCTCCAGTCCGCTGAGCGAGGTAGGCGAAGTCTCCCCGGAATACCTCTCGATACGAAGTTCATGGAGGTAGTGGTGGGGCTGGAGACCTTGGAGGACGGCCACCGCGGGCGCGGGGTCTGCAGCAGCAGAGCTTCGGGCGACAGGTTCTCCGTGGCGCGCATCCGGGGCCCCCCATTGAAGCTTGAGGACCTTGACGGAACACTTGTTGTCAAGCCGAGCCTGCTTGGCTTCCTCTTTGCTCGCGACGGCGTCCAGGCCCTTTATGCTCAGCGTCTTCCCAAGAGACTTCATCCCGGCCAGCTCCCACAGGCTGTGCCCTTCCTTCTCCGATGCCCTCATCACCTGGAACTCGATCGACTCTCGAAGTTTAACCAGCCTTCCTATGCCACTTATGTTGGTGATGCACTCTCTCTTTTTCCCTTTGTCCTCCTCCTGGCCCACACTCAGTGTCTGAAGAAACAATAGCTTGGTGACTTGATCACCGAGATCACTGCTGACGGTGCTAGGAAGGCCTAGGTACCTCACATGTTTCAGCTTGCCAATACTCGCTGGAAGTTGAGTTATGCCTGTCTCTGTCAGATCCAGTACTCTCACACCCTTGAATTGTTGGAGTATATCTTTGTCAATGGCAACGACACCATCATCATCACCATCATCCTTTAGGACTATCAAGGTCCGCAGATTGCCGAGTCCTATGGAGTACTCATTCAGCTGATCAAGGCAGCCGCTGGTAACTGACAAGTGGCGAACCCTTGGAGGGATGCTAGTCTTGTCTCCGGTGCTCGCACGAGAGATGCTTATGCAATTCTTGGAAGAGGCATCACGTATCATCCGATGAATGTGCTCGTGAATCACGTACCGATTATGTTTGTCTCCTCCATCCTTGCTCTGTTCTAACTCAAACAAGGAGCGGTCCACCAGCTCTTGGAAATAGCCTCTGGCAACGTCTTCCATGCTGCTCATCCCATTTCCAACCTGAGGATGATGGGCCTTCTCCTCGACGAAACCAAGAGCCATCCACATCTTGGTCAGCTTCTCAGGCTCAAACCTCCAACCGTTTGGGAATATGCTGCAGAACGCGAAGCAACGCTGGAGGTGCGGTGGCAGATGGTCATAGCTGGCGAGATGGCTTACTAACACGCCGGCGATGTGGCATTCCATGTTTGCCAGGATGCCGCCGCGTTGCTCGCGCCCGCAGCTTGCGTTTCGTGCCTTCAACTTCTCGCCGATCTCTATGGCCGCCGAAGGGGACCCCTTGAGCTTGAGCACGTCGCTTTTGAGCATCCCCTGGATGCCGCTGGTACCATCGGCGCTGGGATTTGCGGTGTCGTTGAGCAGAAGCATCATCTCTTCAGGTTTGATCCCATTCAGGAAGATGGTTTCTTCTGCGCCCAGTTTCGTCGAACAAATCCTGGATCGCGTCGTCATTACGATGCGACTCCCGACGCCCACGAAATCAGTGAAGCAGCGCAGCGCAGTCCTTCTCTCGCTCTCGTTCATGTCCTTTTCGTCGCTCCATACATCATCCAGCACAAGCAGGCACCTCTGGGATGCCAGTTGTGCCTTGAGCTTGTCCTGAAGGCTAGAAATGTTCATCTCCTGGACTGATTTTTCGCCGACGGCCGACTTCCAAATCTCTGCCAGAAGGTCAAACTGAGCATTCTTGCCGTAGGCAGGCACCCATATGGGCCGATCAAACTTGCCTCGGACATGGCGGTACGCCTGGCGAGCAAGCTCGGTCTTCCCCATCCCGCCATGGCCTATGAGGGAGATAACTTTCTTGTCCTTGCAGTTGCCGTCCCCGAGCATGGAGACTAGCTGCTCATACTCCACGCCGTACCCGAAGAAGAGCTTCTTCTCCCTTACTGGCTCCGGGCCCAAGGGTGCTCTGCAGAGTGGAGAAAGTACAGCACGCCGAGTGGCAGGATTCTCGCAGAGCTCTCGCATCCTCTCACGAAGCTCCCCTAGGTTCTTGAGCACTTCCTTGAGCTGATTCAGTGACGGACCACTGGTGTTGGTGGTGAAAATCCACCAAGAATATGCGGATTTCCTGCCACTGCTGCTAGCACTGCCACCACCACCGCCGGAGCGCTTCTTAAGGTTTTTAGCTGCCTCGGCCTCAAGGATATGCGACTCGAACAAGTCCAGGATCTCCTCCGCGTCATGGATGGCATCCTTGAGACTCCACAGACGGTTGACCCAGGTCCTGTCGCTGACGGAGCCCCCCATAGTAGCTGGATCCAGGAAGTCCTTGATGTCCCCCAGATCTTGCGCCAGTTTCAGCAGCTTCTTCCTCATGCCCCTTGGCAGCTTGTACTTGCTGGAAGCGCAGGATCGTGCGACCTCCATGAGCTTGGTTATGTGCGGCGAGACGAACCATCCCACCACCGCAAGTGCAACAGCCACTTCCGGCCCCATGGCGACCATCGACGAACGCCGGCCCGCAGCCTAGCAGTTGGCACCTCACCTCTGCCAATTATTGCGTAATTATAAAATTAATTAATGATGGGGATTGGGGAAACGACAACATCTAGGAGCCGAGCCATGGAGCTGCTGCCTGTGCAGCGCTAAGAAGAGGATGAATGAACGATACAAGTTACTAGTAGTGGTACCTGAGGTTCAGAAGAACATGATGCAGATCTGAAACGATGCTAGCCACTCCTAACACGTATCAATGGATGACGATCTGACGAAGCCAGCCATATCCCCCCGGCGACCGATCACCACAACCCAGCAAGCTCAAATACTGCATGCTACACGTTCAATGGAAGGTGATGTGCAATCGAGATCTCATCCTGTTCAACCTAATGGAGAGAGAGAGAGAAGAGTGAGAACGGATGGAATGAGGAGGCGATCCATGCATGCACAAGGACTAATCAAAGTCGTCGAGTCAACCGTTGGACAGCTCGTTTTAAGGTTTATATTTGTAGAAAAGAAATGATTAGTGGCTGTAGGAGACGCGCCTGCGGTTGGTGGGTCCAGAAGAGACAAAACTCAAGGAGCAGGCCGGCACCGGTGCCTGTCGGCGACTAGCCAAGTATAAATACTAGTACTACTTCGTACTATCAGGAAGAGTGAGTTAATTGCACATAAGTATCACAGCTGGAACATCACATGCACATTGGTATCACGATTGCTAATTTTTGCGTGTCAGTACCAACATTGGTTCAGGTTTTTGCAAAAAAGGCTAAAAGGCTGATTTATATGTATTGACGGTATCTCCGACAGCTCGGCCCCACCCGTCAGGTGCCACGCTGGCCAATCGGCGCGTGCCCGCGCGCTGATTAGGACGAGCCGCTCTCCAATCCGGTCCGGTCGCACCGGTTCGTCCCCCACTGCACCATTCTCCTCCCCTCCTCCTCGACTCGTTCCCTCCGTCGCCGCCGCCCGCGTCCCGACTGCCGGCCGCCGCCCTGCCCTGCCGCCGCCATGGTTTTGGAGGACAAAAGCAGCGACGAGCAGTCTAGCCTCCCGTACATGCAGTCTTCCTCTTCCTCCTCCACTGACGGGCTCAACCAGGTCAGTACAATGAGTTTAGGGTTAGGGTTTCAGATTTGGGATTTCTTGATTTGGTTGATTTCGGTAAGTTTTGATTTGGCCATTGTCTTTGTGCGAGCTTCTGCAGGTCCCTTTCAGTCTTGAAGATCCAGATTACAAGGGGCTTGAGCTGGATGTGATGTCTGATGAAGCTATGTACCTAGGGTAGGGTCATGGACCTGTCCAAACTACCCTCCCCAAGGACATCTCCAGAAGAAACCACCTGTCAATCGACTCAGAAGTATTCCACTCGACGGACTCGAAGACACTCGACCATGAAGCCAACCACTCGACTGCTAGGAGATCTAAAGTCACTCTGCACACAAACGGTCGGTCATTAAGTAGCCTTTATGGTCATCATAGCACTTTATGTGGGACGTTACCAGTAACTCCCGATCTTAATGTACTTTAAACCCTACATAACTGAGGGCCGGAGGGGTTTGACGAACTCTATATAAGCCACCCCCTCCTCAGTGTAAAGGGTTCGCACCCCTGTAACCCATATACGCATAATCCAGTCGACCGCCTCCGGGCTCCGAGACGTAGGGCTGTTACTTCCTCCGAGAAGGGCCTGAACTCGTAAATCTCTTGCGTAATAGCTAGGATCTTGCCTCTCCATTCCTACCCCCCTACATTACTGTCAGACTTAGAACCGCGACAGTTGGCGCCCACCTTGGGGCAGGTGTCTTAGCAACTTATTGGAGAAGTTGCGATTGTTCCGATCTCCTTCATCATGGTTTCAGGCAGAGTTTTGGTTGAGGGCCGCGAGATCCGTCTCGGCGCGCTCACGTTCATCGCCGACGACTCCGCTTGGCTTCAGGAGGCTCCGCTCGACATCGACGCGCTCCCCGTCCGCGGGGCGACGCACTTTCGCGCGTGCGTCCGCGGCGTCCTCCTGCGGCAACCGTCGACCCATCGTTCGACTCCTGTGTCATCCTCCCTCCCTGTCTCCTGCCGGCGCAAGTGCTCCGGTCGGTCGAGGCTTCAGCGGTGGGTGAGGCACGCGGTGGCTCGTAAGTCGGCCACCTCCCAAGTCACGGCGATCGAGTCCGGCGAATCTCTCTATGGCCTGTTCGACTGGCTCCGTAGAGACTAAATCCGAAAGCGACAGCAGTGATCCAGCGGTGGAGGTTCTGATGGTCAATGGACCATGCAGTCCTCCCGGCTTTCCCCGCACCGACGGAGGCGACGGGGGAGGCGATCCGGCACATGCCCACGAAGAGTATCACCCCGAACCTCTCACTTCGCTGCAGAGGGAAGAACTTCGCCGCCGGAACATGGATGCGCTGCACACTCCTATCATTGGAGAAACCCCCGAGGCTCGTGCCTTAGAGGACGCACGCTTGGCCAACTTGGCTGAGCGCACTCGACTGGAGAACCTCCAGCGAGCCCTCGACGAGCGTGCGCGGCAACGGGTTCCAGAATCCAGTCGACGTCAACTCTTTCCACCACCGACTCAGGTATATCAAACTCCGATTCAGAATCTAGCAGCTGCAGCCCGTATAGCAGAGTCGATTCAGCCTTCCCAGTCAGAGGCTGGCAGAGGCTTGTTTCAGATCAGAGCATTACTCCAGGCAGCAGGAAATCAAAATTCAGCTGTATCGTAGTCGCGGAATAGGATTCACAGCAGATCCTTCGCTGCAAATACAGTCCAGTCGGCCCATAGCCCAAGATCGCCCCCGATGCATGAGGGACGTGGAGACCGACGTGATCAGTACAAGAACCGTGAGCAGTATGATGACCGACTCGATCGTGATGATCGACATCGAGTGCCCACCCCTCCCCCAAGGGGTGGATCGTACGCGCCTCGGCAGCAGGATGACAGACGCCATCACAGTGTTGGGCGAAGGATTCCAGTCGACCCCAGGGAACCAGGCTTTGATGCGAGATCCATTATCGTTCAAGGTTTGGTCGACAGGAACAGAGCTCACCAAGAAGGTCATGACAGAGATGTACCCACCAGCAGTAGAGTACACGTTTCAGGACTAGAGTGTTTCAGCAGAGCCATCATGGCCGCGGTGATTCCTCCCAACTTCAGGTTGGCGACTGGAGTCAGCAAGTTCATTGGTGAGTCCAAGCCTGATACTTGGCTTGAGGACTACCGAGTGGCTGTTCAGATTGGCGGCGGCAACGACGAGGTGGCCATGAAACACCTGCCTCTTATGTTGGAGGGCTCGGCCAGAGCATGGTTGAATCAGTTAGCACCCAGCAGCATTTACACTTGGGAAGATCTTGCCCGAGTGTTCGTCAGAACATTTGAAGGAACTTGCAAGCGACCAACAGGGTTGACAGAGCTGCAATCTTGTGTGCAGAAGTCGAATGAAACTCTGAGGGATTACATCCAGAGATGGATCACGTTGCATCACACGGTAGAGAATGTATCTGATCACCAGGCAGTCTGTGCCTTCAAGGAAGGCATTAAATACAGAGAGCTAAACCTGAAATTCGGTCAAACTGGAGACATGTCTCTGAGTCGAATGATGGAGATTGCCACCAAGTATGCAAGTGGTGAAGAAGAGGATCGGCTCCGGAGTGGCAAGCATAAGTCAGTCGCCCACGAAACCGGAGGAGGGAACTCCAGTCGGAAGCAAAAGCGGAAAGCTGAGCCAGCTGCTCCTGGAGAAGCCTTGGCCGTGACTCAAGGAAAGTTTAAAGGAAAGCCCAAAGGGTCTTGGAACCCTAAGAAGGTGAAGGACGAGGAAGGTAATGACGTGATGGATTTGCCGTGCCACGTCCACACGAAGAAAGATGAGGAGGGTAAATTCATTTATCCGAAACATACCACTCGACAGTGTCGGCTCTTGATCCAGCAATTCCAGGGGAAACAGCCCAAAGATAAGGAAAAGGAGTCGGACAAAGTTGAAGGCAAAGAAGATAGTGATGATGGATATCCCCAGGTCAATTCCACCCTGATGATTTTTGCTGATGTTGAAAGCAAAAGTCGATTGAAAGTTATCAACCGAGAGGTGAATATGGTTGCTCCGGTGACACCCAATTATCTGAAATGGTCTCAAACTGCCATCACATTCGACCAGTTGATCATCTGACACACATAGCCACCCCTGGGAGGCAAGCTTTGGTGGTCGACCCAGTCGTCGAAGGCACTCGACTGACTAAAGTTTTGATGGATGGTGGCAGTGGCCTGAATACTCTGTATGCAGAGACATTGAAAGGGATGGGCATTCTGATGTCCAAACTCAGTACCAGCAACATGAGTTTCCATGGAGTCATTCCTGGAAAGAAGGCTGATTCACTCGGCCAAATTGCTCTTGATGTGGTTTTCGGTGATTCCAAGAATTACCGCAAAGAAAAGTTAAAATTTGAAGTTGTGGATTTCCAGAGTGCTTATCACGCTATTTTGGGCAGGCCAGCTTATGCCCGCTTCATGGCTCGACCATGCTATGTGTACCTCAAATTGAAGATGCCTGGTCCCAAAGGTGTGATCACTTTTACTGGCGATCAGAAGAAGGCGGAAGAGTGCTTTCAGAAAGGCTCAAAGATCGCCGATGCTCAGATGGCAGTGGTAGAGCTACAAGAATACCAAAAAACTGCAGATCCAAGTGATTTGTTGCGAGCCAAGAAGCCTGCTACGGAATCAGCATTTCAGTCGTCCGGTGAGACAAAGCCGATTCACATTCACCCGACCGACCCCAGTGCTGCTCCGACTCATATCTCTACAACACTCGACTCCAAATAGGAAGAAGTGCTCATCCAGTTCCTCCGTGAGAACTGGGACATCTTCGCATGAAAGCCTTCTGACATGCCGGGTGTTCCCAGGGGGCTGGCTGAGCACCGTCTACGAGTCGACTCAAAAGTGAAACCTGTCAAGGAACATCTTCGACGGTCCGCCGTCCAGAAGAGAAAGGCCATTGGCGAGGAAGTGGCTCGGC